CTATATATATCGATGATATTATCATATTTTCCAAATCGGTTAGAGAACACTTAACTCATTTGGAAGAGGTTTTCAGGAGACTTTGTGATATCAAACTGAATCCGAAGTGTAATTTCGTTAAACAAAGGGTAGAATATCTAGGTCATATCGTAACTCCTGAGGGTATCAGTCCAAACCCAGAAAAGATTCGTGTTGTGCAGGAATTCCCTACTCCAACTAATCTCAAGAAACTCAGGAATTTCTTAGGTCTCGCTAATTATTACTGGTGTTTTGTCAAGGTTTTTCTCATATAGCCACTCCCATGAATGCATTAACCAAGAAGGGTGTTTCTTTCAATTGGACAGAAGAGTGTGCTGTTGCTTTCGACAAGTTGAAACGTGCTTTAGTGTTTGCTCCAATTTTAGCTTATCCTAACTTTAAAGAGCCTTTTCTACTGTTTGTCGATGCTAGTTCTACAGGAATAGGATTTTCCTTAGCTCAAGTACAGAATGGTAAAGAAGTAGCGATTGCTTATAACGGCCGCGGTTTGAATAGTGCAGAGCGCAACTATAGCACAACTGAGAGGGAGGCGCTCGCGTTAATAGAAGGGATTAAGAAATTTCAGCCCTACCTTCAGAATCGCCAATTCACGTTTGTTACTGATCACAATTCGTTACGCTGATTAATGAGCGTTAAGGATGCTTCTGGTCGTCTTACAAGATGGGCCTTATTTTTTACAGTACGATTTTGAGATCATTCATCGCCCTGGTAAGATGCATGGCAATGCGGATAGTTTGTCTAGACGTCCTTATGACACAAGGGAATGTAATTCAATCCGAAAAGAAGAGCCACAAGTAGCAAAAGTACGAGAATTGCGAAGGCGGGATTTTGACCTTAGTGAGATTATTGAGTACCTAGAAAATGATATTTTACCCATTTACGATAGTGCAGTAGGCAAGCTTTTACTTGTGAGTGATGGCTTTTACATCGGACGTGATGGTTTACTTTACGATCTAGGTAACAATCGAAAGCGCAATTCTTGGGATTCATTTCCTCAACTCGTTGTCCCTCCAGCATTGGGATTTGAAATTTTGTCGAACATGCATGACCATATATCCGGTGCGCATTTTGGAGTCCATAAGACTTTCAATAAGGTTAAGCAACGATATTGGTGGAAAGGAATGTACAAAGATGTTGAACATTGGTGCATGTAAGTCTTGCACTGAGTGTTCCATGAGAAAATCGCCTAGGAATACCAAAAAGGCACCCTTACTTCCAATTCCAGTGGAGAATGCTTTTGATAGAGTGGCTGTTGATGTGTTAGGGCCTTTCCCACCTTCTAACAAAGGAAATAGGTACGTTGTCGTTTTTAGTGATTATCTTACTCGATGGTGCGAAGCATTTCCTGTTCCAAGCGTTGAGGTAACTGTGATCTCTCGTCTATTAGAAAATGAGATCATCGCCACTGAGTTTAAAGCACGTAAAAAGAAAGGAAAAATGGAATATCTAGTTAAGTGGCATAACTTTCCCAGAAATCAGTCGACTTGGGAACCAGCACAAAAAATTTTAGATAGACGACTTGTTGATAATTTTAACAACTCAAGGAAGTGACGAACTCTCGTCTAGTCAATTCATTTCCGCAGGCGACGTTCGAATTGGATGTGCCAAGCAGGCGTTCTAGGTATTTTTCGTGCAACTTGGACCGGAACAGGACATAAATGTGAAGAGAACTACGTTAAGAACCCTAAGGCCACTCTGAGAGCTCTGACTTACGCTATGTCTATTTCACAAAGTATGATGCGAGTTCTCGACGGAAAAATTGTGTACTTGTTCAAAATTACTGATCAGATGAGCATCATATTAAATTTTCTGTCTCAGGATTTAAAAATGGTCCAAAGTACCCGCTTTACTGACTGGAAGAAAAAACTAGAACAATTTGCCAATTCAGCCAAATGTCACGAGGGAATGACGATGGAATTTCTTTCTAAGTAAACCGCTAAGATTAATCGTGCTTTCGCTGCTTCCTAAGACTTTTTGAAATCCAAGATACTTTGAGTCAGATATCTCATCTACATGAAAAATCACTTGTAGGCTATTCCGATTTACCTAAGTTTATGTCCTCCCACTTGTCTGCCAAACTTTCTACTGATCATTCATTGAGGTTGACTATAACAGCACTGGAACAAGGTTCGTCTATTCTGGCTAGCCCAATGGTCGATGTCGAACACAGCGATCAGGATTTGACTGTCGATATTTTATTGTTAG